TAGATCTCAATAGTCAAATCACTAATCACTTACTGATAAAATTATATGTACTCAATAAATTTTATTCGAAGCCACGAATAAAAATATGAGGTAATTCATAAGGAATCAGTTGAATAATTACATATTGTTTTTGCATAATTAAAGTCGAATTAGTTGAAAAGATACGCTGATAAATCCATTCCTAACATATTTTTGTCTCTTGCGAAAAACAAAAAAACTAATGAGTTTGATATACATGTAGATTGAATTCAAACTATATTACACGTTTGACGCATCTTTTTCAAAAGTCTCCGTTGTATGATATTTCAATTGTTATACTTGCTTTCTTGGATGCATTATTTCATACGAAAGATAATTGTATACATTGAAGTTTATGAGTCATCGACAAGTTTCAATAAAAATAAGCAATCATTGTTCAAACATTTCTTGTAACTTGTCTTTCGTACATTGATAAGCATTGGTGGCTTTGTCTTGTTACTCTTAATTTACTAAGACTATTCTTTGTTTTTTTTCTTTATGAAAAAAAGTAACTACGAATAAGTGCATATGACGCATTTGCAGAGAGTCTCAAGAGTAGCAATTTATGTAAATTAGCATGGCATTTTCTTTCATGGAAAAAAAGATGATAGACTTTGACTAAGATATTCCTAAGATTACAAAACTGCTTGATTAATTGTTGATGTAAACGAAATTGTGAACCATACTACCATAGAAATCAAACGGTTTTGTTTAAAATGTTCTGATATTTTATGTATTTATTAGCACTAAAAAGAATTTCATCATTACTATCATATATTAAACGAAGATAAAAAAAACAAGTAACTACGATTTCGTGTGACTTTTCACCAGATCTTACAGTTGTTTCAAAAGGATACTAACATCCATACTGAGATTGAAGATTTTGATCTCGAACTACTTTCTTAAATACTGAATTGATGGACTTATGCGAATGGAAAATAAAAGAAAAGTCAAAAGGACTAGAAACTAAAACAAAGTTTTTTTATTATACAAGATGTTTAAAAAAACGCTGTGGTGATGTCATAGATTGGGAAAGATTTCAAGAATCAAGAAAAATGATAGCGTAGTATGTAAACAATACCTTTTTTCTTTGTCTCTATAAATAGAAGCTATTATTTGAACATAAAATGAAAGATTAAACAAAATACTTAGATAATGAAGTAGCCTTTTCTTATATGGAATTCATGCTGAAAAGTTTTCGCATAAAAACACAAATTGCTTATTTCGAGTCTAAATATAAGTTTGAAAAGAAAAAGATAGAATTGATCTCAATTCAAATTAGAATATAAACAAGGATTCTACTGTAAACCATGTAGATTTTACCTGTATTAATATTACCGATTTTTTTCTATCATTACCACGATTATTAGTTGTCTTGGTGTATTGAATAATATTTACTTTATTTTTTAGTGTTGTAAAATCATGAACTAAACAACTGGATAGTAGAATATCGGTATATGGAAGATATTAATAATTGGATAATTAACAATGACTCAAACAGTTGAAAAATTATTTAATAAAATGAATGCAAAAGTAAAAAGAATTTAGTTTAAAATATTCTTGAGCATTAGAAATGATAAATTTGAAAATTGATGAGATTATGTGATCTAGATAAAAGCAATTCAATCAACATATAGAAAAACTTTTCAATGAATCAACAACTGCATTTGTTTAATTTCAGATGATTTGAATTGTTTTCTGATGAATCAAATTCCATGATGATTAATCATTAGTCACTTTCACAGATACAAAAAAAAAGACAAATTATGGAATAAAACTAATATTGACTGTCAAGTAATTATGCACATGGATAGAAACATGATTGTTGATTTGTTTTACGTGAAAATTTTTCTCGTACGCATATCTTGAATTATAATTATTGGATACGTTTTTTACATCAAACAGATCGTGAGCAAACAAAGAAACTCGTTTCAAAGAAACAACAAACACGAGAATTATTTTCTTTGTACAATAAATTAGCTTATTCATGAAACTTCTCAACCATTTCTACTATTTTTTTTTCCAAGCAAAAAAGTGTTACATCTGTATATGAACGATAAAAAAGTAAACTTCGAACAATTTTGTTCATTTCAAGTTCTTAAAACTTTTCCTTGTACCCTCAAATAGATCTAAATTAAATCTATTTACGGATGGTATGCCTTAGATTCCATCCATTAATTTTTGAAATAGGCTGTCGTTGAATCAATGAAATAGGATTCAAGCAAAGTTTATTCTGAAACTCGACTCTCTTTGATCTATCTGATGCGGCTAAAAAATACTTTGGGACCTTAAGTTGAGGAGGATCAATCCTAAGTCACATTTTAGTGACTCATTTTTATTGTTATAAGAGTTATTCGGTATAATGTAGCATAGCGCCGTAAACAAAAGTCGCTCAAAATATTTTAAGAACTCAACTGCAAGAAATCTAGTACAGCTAGAGATTTGTTCTCTGTCGAAACATCAAGAGCTTTAACACCAAATGAGTTTGATTCGAATATAAAATTTTGACTAACCCGTTCTTTTTAAGACACTCGATCAAGACTTTCATATAGTGACTCATAAGTTATTCTTCATTTAGGTCGGAAAAGCGAATTACTCTTTTCTAGCCCAAAAAAAAAAAAATTTTCTGAACACTAGTTTTGTGATCAATAAAAGATAGCAGATCATAGTAAATACTGTGATTAGCGTCCGAAGAAAAACATTTTTTGTATTATGTTCAGATAGTAGAATACTGATGTAAAGAACGAGGAAATTCTAGCTAATGTTTTCTTTCCCATTTTTTTTTCTAAAAATGCAACGTATTCATTTATAATCACAAAAGGCACGTCATATTGAGCTACATTCTCGTCTTTTTAGGCTATTTATTCTCTGATTGTCTAATACGCAGCATAAAGTGTATTTAACATTGAATTGTCAAACAATGTCGAAGTCAGTCAACATTCCTACGACAATTTTTATTCCCATGACTAAAGAAGAATGGATACCAAAACCATCAAAACCACGACGTATGTCAATTGTTCGAGAATTTGCTTTGAATACATCCACTCATGGTTTGCCTGGTATTGCACGTAGTCAAAGTAAACACAATTGTATCTTTTGGACTTGTTCATTTCTCATTTTTACTGGTGTTATGATCTATTTTGTCAGTCAATCAATTCAAAACTATTTTCAATATCCAACACAAACATCAGTATCAGTTGTTGTTGAACGATCACAAACATTTCCAGCAGTTACAATTTGTAATTATTCACCTATGCGTTATGATACTTTTATAGCAGATTTCTTAAATTATACAACTTCAATTAATGTAACCAATATAAACGACACAACGTTTACTGAACAACAAACCAGTCAAATTTATAATTATTTACGAAATAAACTCAATATAAATGAATCTATGGATGAATATTTCTTTTCTCTTGAATTCATGTTAATAGAATGCTCATACAATAATCAACAATGTAGGGCAGATGATTTCACTTTTTTTTTGTCATCTAAATATGGTCGTTGTTATACATTTAATGCAAAAACAAAAGATTTAAATAATAGCAAAATTCGACAAACCAATGATGATGGAGGTTCAGGAAAGCTTATATTACGCCTCTATGCACACAGTGATCTGTATGTTCCATATGTTTCAGGAGGTTCGTTTCAATGATACTTGTTGAGAAAAATCTATGTTTTCTTTCTTTGAAAATAGATGTGTCAGTTGGAATGGTAGCTATGGTTCATGACAATACAGAATTACCATTGATTGATGTAGCTGGCATTGAACTTACATCAGGACGAAAACATAAACTTGGTTACAAGAAAAAAGCAAATTACTTTTTATCTTCACCATATACAGAATGTACAGATAAAGTACCTATTGTAATGCAAGCAATGTTCGATCGATATGGAGGGGCTGATTATGCATATTCACAAGGTGTATGTTATTTACTTTGTACTCAAGCATATATGTAAGAGATATCAAACTAAGCGATCAAGAAAATTATATATAACTGTTTTTTTTTCTCAGCTATGACCAATGTCGATGTGTAAATCCAAAAGCATGGTCAGCTCGATCAGTTATTCTTACTGATAAAAATACAATTTTTGAAGCACCACTTTGTAACTTTGCTGATGGTTGTTATATGAATGCTACTTCTAGAATTTTCAGTACAATATCAATTTGGAATCAGTTTTGTTCACAGTGCACTCAAGAATGTTCCGTTGTTGATTTCGTAATTACACCATCTTCAACATTAGCGCCATCTACTTGGTATGCAAATATAACTAAAGCCTTTGTTGAATCTCACCGTAATATAAAACCTACAAACTGGTCAACAAATTGGTTATCAGAAGTTCAAAATAATTATGTTGGACTAGAAGTTGTATGTCTATCAACTGAAGTAGAAAATTACACACAAGAAGCATCAGTTCAACCGGTTGATGTTATTTCAAATGTCGGTGGTCATACAGGATTATGGATTGGAATTAGTTTCTTATCAATAATGGAGTTCATTGAAATGCTTTATCGTCTTTTACGATATCAATATGATACTACTAAACAAATCATACAAAACAAAATAAGAAGAAGACAACAAATACATGGACTTACATAGAAATGATTCGAATCTTGAATTCATTCATTTGATTATTCATGTATTACACTTTTTTTTATTCCTATGCGTTTCATATAATAAAAAGACACTTAGGCTTCAAATATTGACAATTTTTGTTTTTGTCCTAATTATAATCATGATTGTTTGTTTTTTCTTGATTCATCCGATACTCATCTAATTATGAAATCCGATTGTTCTATTACTAGTTGTAACTCAATTTCGATTGCGATGATCTGCACTGATCAGGAACAAATTGCTTATGGAAAAAAACTGTAAGAAAATTCGATATGAACTCAAAAAGAAAGATTCTTTTAGTGTATTTTGTTAAAACGAAGACTAAGCATAACACAACGATTTTTGAAATAGTTGGTATATAGAGAGATCTGTATTATATTTTATTCTTGATTTCTCGAACTAGACACCTGTTTGATATTTTCAAGGAACAGTGCCAGTAGTCATACTAACTTGAGATTGAAAATCAATAACTGTTGAAAATGGCTGAATAAATGGATGAAACTATTAGAAACTCATTGTCTTATTATTAGATGTGAACTAAAGAAATCTGGCGTACTTCATCTAGATTCTGTACTCCAGATGAGTTGCGAAAAAAACGTAAGAGATATTTTTTTTCCTTTTTCTAAATGTAGACACTAGCTAAGGAATCGCGTTGATATGTCATTGAAAAAACAACGATTAGAATTGCATCGATTAAACTTAATTCTAGTTCATGTTGGCTTGATTTCACTTCCTACGACTATTTCTTTGAAAATATGAGTATACAAAACACAGAAAGATTCTTCTTAGCTGCTCTAAAACATTCTTTACTATTTTTTCGTAAAGTGCTTGGGATTTCATTCATGTAAAATGAAAATTAAATAGAACACATCCAAGCTTTTTATGTTTTGTTTTTTCTTGTTGGGCCACCAACAAAATTACAACAAAAACAGAAAAAAAATACTGTTTGAGCATGTTCTCGTATTCTCTATTTTCCAGCTATAAAGTCCGTAGAAGGCAACATTAGTTGCCGATATGGTACCAAAAAGACAAAGAATATTTTACATTAACTAGGAAGAGAGAGTTACTAATAACTAACAATTAACTAATTAGTCAAACGGTGTTCATGGTAAGCTAGCTGATCCAATATTTACCAACAATCATTTGTCTGCGTGCTTTCTACGACGTATGGAGACAGTATTTCTTTGATTAAAGCAATTTTGCTCCTACTATCTAGTATGGCAGCTTGAATATAATTGTAAAAATGGTCTCATTGATCTGATAGCTGCCTGTGAAAATTTTTTAAAAATTCTTCGTTATCGTGAAGCTTATGATCTTATTAATTTCATCATATGCTTAATCTATGTATACTTCTTCTAGAACTTTTGACATAGAGAGAGTTCTTGACCTTTTCTGAATATCGGACTGTAATCAACGGACACTAGTTTATATAATTGTCAAACAGTAGCATTGAATTTGAAAAATGAAATAGAATTTCGTAGCCTTGAGTTTTTATTATAATATGTTGGCATATGAAATTTTTCCTTGTTCCCTTGACCGAAACCGGCTTAAAAAAGTGTTGATTTCAATGTTTATATCTCAAACTAAAGATCGTTAGACCTTTGCTAGGCCGACAAAACCAAGTCTTTTAACACTATATGCTGAACAGTTTGGTTGATTGAGCTGAATTGAGAGTTTCGGTAAATAATAGATACATAGACCCACACCCACACCCACACCCCCACTATTAGTCAACGTTCAGACATTGTTACTTTACAAGAAGATGACGATTTTTCAGCTGCTTTTCAGCAATTTGCCTGGCGTCCACTAGCAACAACGAGCAGTGCCACTTGGTCCATCTCTGTACGCATCAATGTCAATCGAAGATCTAACAATGGCTCATATAACAATGCTCCAGTGGCTACAATGATGTCTCCCATCCTAATTCCTGTCAATCGAACAACAGTCATTAATGTACCTGTAGTTGATGATGACGGAGACATAATTCGCTGTCGATGGTCTACCACAGCCAATGGAGTAGATGAATGTGGTGGTGTGTGTCCACCAGGTTCATTACCATCAAACACTATAATCTATCCTAATTGTACCATTCTGATAATAGGTCAAATTGTTGGCAACTGGTTTGCTGTAGCACTGATGGTTAATAAGCAATACTTTATATATCTAAAAAACAAATTCTTTCATAAGTAGGTCGAATATTTCATCAATTCAACAAGCACAACTTCTCTTAGTTCGGTGCCTGTTCAATTTCTTGTGCAAGTAGTACAAGAATCGTCATGTCCTAATCCACCTACAATTATTGGAACACCTTCTGAACAGTCATGTATAGCAGTCGTAACTGGTCAAATATTCACATCACAGCTAATTGCTATAAACAGTTGCAATTCAAATGTGACTATTATTGATATTACCATACTAGCTTTTCTTGGAATGATACGAGGAAACATCACTCAGCTAAACACAACTGCCTATTATGTTGATCTCTCATGGACACCAACCGTCTCTCAACTTGGCTATCAACTTATGTGTGCAATTAGAGGTGTAAGCCGATAGGCTAATCGGCGGCGGCGCCAGTTTTTTAAAACTTTTTAAAAAAGCTCGGCGGCGCAGATTTGATATTCCAGGGTTGCACAGCGGCGGCGGCTCGAAAATTGTAAAATTTCGAATGCCATCGGCGGTGCGGCGGCTGTAATTAAAGTGTCTCAGCGGCGGCGGCTTGAAGTTTAAAAAGTACTACATTATCATAAAGAAATTAGTCTATGACCTTGTCTACACGAGAAGGATAATGCAGTATTCAATTCGTATTAAATCAATTTGTGTCTACATTTGTCAGTTAATGCATTAATCAGAATCCTAGCCTTTGAAATGAAGCGTAGTTTTTGTTCACTTCAATCATAGAGGAATCGCTCATTGAAAACTGCGTCAGTCTCATTGGAAAATCCAATCAGACTTTGATTGGTGCATCAACTTTAATGTGGTTCTGAATAGTGCAATAAATTTAATGCACTTTTTAAAAGTGTTTTAAATGTTTATTAACTGTTTATTAACTGTTTAACCAATCATGTCTCTTAATTTACCATCAAAATTTTTAGTGTAGACAAGGCCTATTTCAATATCTCGGCCTTTTTATCTTCAAACACATATGTGGAAAAACTTTAATTCACATCTAGACATAATGAAAAAAAAAGTCTAAAATTAAAAAATAAATATAATTGCTAGGGTAAATAATAAATGAAAAATCACCATCACGATTGTTAATAAGTAAAGGCACTAAGCGTATTCAAGTTTGTTGTTTTTATTTTGTTTTTGTTAATCAAAATTTAAAATGCTCGTCTCTTCATGTATTTATTAATATACCTAATATAAAGACATAAACAACTGAAATGATAACTTAGAATTTTCAACCAACACAGAATTAAGGGTTTGTTTACAATTTAGAACCCCAAGCACCTGGCTGGTCAAAAAACCAGCACGAAAGTGAAGTTGAAGGCGAGGAAGATAATGAAGAAGAAATATATTGGGATTCTAAGATGTCAAAGTACCGAATTCAAGAAAATATAAATAAAACGTTTATTTATGCTAGTTGCCAGCGGCGGCGGCGGCTCGAAAATTTTAAAATTTTGAATACCATCGGCGGCGCGGCGGCTGCAATTAAAGTGTCTCAGCGGCGGCGGCTTAAAAATTTCTAAAATTTCTACTGTCAAGGCGGCGGCGGCTTAAAATTTTTCGAGTCTGTCGGCGGCGACGGCGGCTCAGCCGCACGGCTTACACCTCTATGTGCAATGGCTTTCAATAGGTATAGAAATCAACTAATAATCAATGAAACATCTAATATAGATATTTCTTTCGTCTAGCCAAAATGTACAATCATCTCAATATTGCTTCAAGTTCTATGTCACACAAACTAGTGTATGTGGATGTCCTGATAGTGTACTGCGTGATTGCTTTTTTTGATCACGATCACGAAGAAAAAGAGCTTGTGATCACGAACACGATCACGAGGAAAAAAAAGTAATCACGATCACGATCATCACGATCACGATTACGATTCAGTCTCCAACACTTTCATAGAGCATGCGTTTGCATCATGCAAAAATACCATTACTAATAAACCAACAAAACTTGGTGCTGAAAAGTTGAATAAGCTGATGTCTTTTTTCAAAAACATGAATGTTTTAAAGAAAAAACTTGATATTAAATCTTTCGAAATAGACAATGACCAAGAGACAAAACGAAAACATGAATCAATCGTCTTAGATAATCAATCGATAATAAAAAAATGAAAACACCGGATATTATGATCAATCATCGACATAATAGTGAAGATGTACTAAATCTTTCAAGTGAAGAAGATGAATAAGTTCTTTAATTGTGCGATTTTTTCTGTGTGTATTTCGATTTTGTTTTCATATAAATAGTATTTAATCACTTTTTTATGTTTTGTTGATCTTCTTTTTTGTTATAAGTCATATATGAACTGTCAGAACCTCTTCTGGTTTTAAATGTAAAGCATTTATTTTCGAAATAAGTGGTTAAGAGTTTGAATGTGTATGCTATGATCGTGATCATGAAGTTTTTTTATCAATCACGGTCACGATCACGATCACGAAAAAACAGCGTTCGTGATCACGATCACGCGTGATTGTGACCGTGATCGTGATTTTAGTGATCACGCAGTACACTAGTCCTGATGAAGCTTGTACTACAGTTGTCCAAACAACTTCTTCAATTTCAATACAAAACTGTTTGTTTCTACCCTTCTCTATTATAATAACAAAGTCTGATTCTATTTGTTTTTGTTAACAGCTTCACCTAATGGGTTGGCAATTGGAATCCCATGTGGTGTAGACATTCTCGTAGCATTGGTCTTGGCTTATTGCATTTATCGGTTTTACTGTTGGTATGTTTGAATAATTAATTTCTATTATTATGATCTATTCTTCTCTTTTTAGCCAATCTGATGAAATTGGCTACATATACAAGAG